TTTTTTTTTTTTTGCTTTAAAAAAAAATAAAGAAAAACTCAAGACATTTAGAAAAATCATTATTTTGAGGGGAGCCAAATTCCAAAAATATTTTTATTTAGAGTTATTTAGAGTTATATAGTGTTGTGAAACTTTAAGCCAATGTTACAGAAAGCATATTTTTATCTGAAAGTGTGCTATGTACATTGATTTTTCATCCCCTTTTAATACAAAACTTTCTATGCATACTCTTATCTGCCAAATAAAAACAAAATGACCTACATATGTGTTCTTGTAAATATGGAACCAGACTTCACTTATGCATGCATATCAAAAAGCAACTTCCAGAAAAATGTATATCATAATATTATTAATTGCTACATATTTATTTTTTCTGAAAGATTTTAAATGTATTTTGGACATTTACATAACCACTAACTTCAGTGTAAATACACAAGATCTAGCACTAGAATGTGCTGTCCATAAGCCAGAAGCTATAAAGCATTCAATAATTAAGGTCCTTTTATAAAAACAGCATGATAGATAGAGAGGGCAGGTGTAATGGACTCTAAAGAGCACAACATTGAATCTGGGGTCAAAAACATTTAGTATCTGGATGACGTGAGCTCCAAACCCTTATTAGCATAGATCTTATATTGTTTGTTTATCTTGAAAAACTAGCACCCAGAGGAATGTAAGTCATTCCAGCTCCTGACTTTTGCTCAGCTTTGCCATGACTCACTATACCACAAAACCCAACATCAATCTACACTTTAAAGGTGAGACGCCAAAATTGGGAACCCTCCACCTCTCCTACAGTAGATTCAACTAAGTCTCTAGGGGGAAAAATAAGTGAGGCTTCTTTCTTTTTATTGGCTACTTCAGAGTAAGACTCTCAGATTTCAGTTCTGCCGCTTGTCAACCAGGTCTAAGGACAAATAGAAATGAAAATTAAGAGGCTTAATTCTCCCATTGAAAATAAGGGAAGAGATGTTCCATTCTTTGTCCTTAGAGCATTTACTTTGGAAAACCTGTCACTGTGAGCACATTCTCCATTCTTTAAAATGCATATAAGTCCTTTTGAAAATTAGAGGGGCATTGTGGCAGCTTTAAGACCCAGGAAAGTATGTCTCAAGGAATTGAGAACCAAGTAAACATCCAAGTGGAATAGCACCCCTATCTCCTAGTTCCTGAGAGAGGGTAAGAGCCTAACCTGACTCCAAGCTGTAAAACTACCTCCTGTCATAAAGATATGAAAATTTATTTTTCTTTTGTGTACAGTCAATCAACTGACACAGATGGTCACCCCATTTATCAGGTGATAAAGATAAGCTATGTGAAATAAATGGTACTGTTAAGTCCCCTTACTTGAGGATGAATTGAACTATTATTTATCTTGAGAACATGTACATATGCCTATATATACTATGCAAATTGTGAGATTTCTCCCTGATTTTGCAATTTCTTAATGATTACCTGTGATGCACAGCACATTCTGGTTTAATGCTTATTCAACAATAAAGTTGTTTTCTTTCTCTACTGCTTTTGTGAAGAGGACTTCTGGGTGGTAGAGTTTTAAAAAAATTGTATTTCCCTAACACAGGCTGGGACCTATGACACAGGAAAGTCATTTTGACTGGGTCACTGCTGCCAAATCTGGGGGTAGGGCTGTGCTTCCCTCTGTTATCTCCTTGCCTACCGACATATCTGGGCAGGGTGCTATCCATTCAGGTGTTCATATTAGGTGCCTCTGGCCAGTTGTCTACCAAAGCATATGAATATTCTTTTAATTAGCAGTTAGTAATATCCATATTCCAAGGTCTTGCCTGAGATTACAACCTTGAATTCTTGAAATCTGAGATTTATCAAAGCTTGATTTTGAAAAATAATATTTAGGGCAATTGCCTAAAGGGAATAGAGTGAGCTCATTCTTCTTGATAATTTCAATTTTAACCTTGAATCAAACCACAATATGAGACTGGCTTCCATGAATAAGTCACTTATTTTCTCTTTTCTATGCTGTTATCTGGAGAATAAAGATAGAGGAATGAAACGCTTATCCCATTAGATTAGAACTTGAGACATCAGTTGGAATTCAAAATGAAATGAGCACATTAAAAAGCTTAGACACATCAAGGCAGCAAATCATTTATAGTCACCTTTCTAGCAGAATTATGGTCTTGCCAACCCTTAAATGTTGATGAAATTTTGCAAAGAGAAGGAATAAGAAAACAGGAGAAGAATTTGCCAGGTGTGTGTTTTATGGGTAGCTAGTAAATGATTAGCTTTCAAGTGGTGTTAATAAAAAGTAAATCCGAAAGGTCAGAATCAAATGCATCTAATCATGGTTTTGGAAATCAATTGACCCTTAAGTTAAAAATAAAATAGTCCTAGGGCCTCATGTGGCAGGTGATGTGAAAATGTCGGGTCTGTTTATATCTCCTTCCCCAGTATGACTTTCACAATTAAACCTGTAGAAAGAGGAGTGGGTGTTAGAGTGGTTGTGGATCAAAGAGTTGCTGAATTCACAAGACATGATGAATACAATCAGAAATAATTATTGCTACTAGAGTTTATTTTCTTCTGAGTAACTCTGCTCAAAAATCATTTATCTCAGGCAGGGACTCGCTCAAAATTAGATGGTGTTAGCTATATATCTTCTTGGAGATGGCCCACTGGTGTGAATAATTGAAATCTATGAAAGTGACTTTCTTCGAAAATTGATCAGCCAGCTGACCACAAATCAATTATTCTGGGATCTCATCTGCTTGTATGAGGGTTCATCAATGACCAAGTATTGTTTTAAGTGCCACATAAGATGCTAAATAAAACATTCTTTGGAATTTACTAACCCCCAGACTCAGCTTGCACCAAATGCTATGGCCAGCCTTAACCAAAGTACTTTCCAAACATGTGCGGAATACAAAAAAAACAGAGCCAAAGTATTAGGTTTGACTAAAGAAATTATAGTGAATCTCAACATAGAACAGATCTCTCAAAATCAATATACATGAGTTAAAGTACATGTTAAGTGTTGATGACAGACAGGAATATGTGGTCCGAGTTTTTATTAATTCAAAGCATTCCCTGAAACTAATTTTTAAAATAATTCTTCTGCTTTTATTTTCAAGTTTTTCTTTCCATGATTGAATTACTGATTTGACTGGCTTCCCTTAACTGCCAATGAAGAAGCAAGAATTTGAGGATCTCAACTCTTGTTGCACGTATGCATCACCAAGATTTGAAAACACAGCGATCAATGTCTTCGTCTGTCCCCAGAGCTTCTTGATTCAATTTGCCTGAAGCAGAACCCTGCTCCTGGGGCTTTTGCAAAGAAGATTCCACTGCTCAGCCAGAGTTGACAACCACTGAGCTAAACGATAAGTGGAATTGTTTTGTTAGCTCTTTTTCTATGTACTTTATAAACCATGTGACTTATGTGAAACATAAACAAGTCAAGTCAGGTAAATCTGAGGTCTGTTTCAAATGAATTGCTGAGCTAACTTTAGAAAACTGGAAACTACAAACAGCGTAATAAAATAGAAGAAATTTGAGTCTGGCGGTAAGAAAGACAGATTGCCGTCTTTAGAAAATGGGAGAAAACTAAGAGGTGAATTTTGAGATAGGATGTAGGATTCTTCCACAATGTTTATTGTATGGGGTTGGTAACTGGAATGCCTTACTCCTTAGGCCAGATAGGCATAAGACCAGAATTGCTATATAAAAACAGATAATTTTCTTGATTGATGCTTTCAGGTATTTAAATAACAAAGTGAGGTTGGGGGGAAAAACAGTCATCGATATTACAGTCTGACCACATAGCATAAGGAACTGTAAAATTTATTAAATTGTTCTAAAACATGCCAATGTTACTAAAAAGTAAAACACAGAACATTAGAAACATAAAATGTCCTTTTGCTTAGTCATTTACATCTCTTTTAATACTGTCTAGCTTACTGTCTTTCACAATTGCTAAACTTCAAACTCTACTTTCTTTTATGGTGTTTTTCATATATTCCAAATATGAGGCTGAAATCATTTTTTGACAATCTTACTTACTAGCTTAATTTTAAGTTTTGTCTCTAGGGTTATGATAATTGGTGCAGAAGACACAAATATTACAATACTACCTCTACCCTCTTGTTCTCACAACACAGTCTTTCAACATTGCCTATCACTCAGAAGTTCTTAATTCAGTATTTATTATCACATCTGGATGCTTTTGTTTAATCAACCAACTGATTTTCTATCATTGTATGGAAACATTCTTATTGTACAGGTATAGTCTATGTAAACTTGAGCCAAAATCGTTGTTTGAAAGAAAGAGAACATTTGATTGTTATTTTTTATACATTCACCTGGAATGTACAAAATTTATTCAACCATTCTCCTCTTTTTAGACATATACAGTTGTCTGACTTCTCCCTCTTATACAACTTGCAACCATCACACTGAAAGGGCTAGCTAGCACATTTGACAAAGAGGTAATATCTTTAATATATAAAGGGGGTTTACAATGCAATAAGAAAAATATTGCCATACCAGTAGATAAATGTATAACTTAGTGAAAAAGCAAAATAGACAGAAAATACAGAATTTTTAAAATGCAAATTAAGACAAAAGATAATTTATCCTTTTATATTGCAAATATTTTTAAATATTTTAAAAGGGAGACAGAGTTAGATAATACAGATAGAAATTTAGCTGAAGATAGCCAGATAGGGTTCAGTAGAGGGCTTAAGAGCACAGGCTTCAGGCAGTCAGATCTGGATTCCTGATTGTGCAGACACTTTCCAGCTATTTGGCTTTAGCTGACTTCCCTCAGCCTCAGTTTCCTCATCTGTAAGATGGGAATAATAATAATACTTAACTTACAATGTTTTGTGAAGATTAACTAAAATAATGCATATAAAGTGCATAATACATTTTAACATATATTAAGCTCTCAATAAATGGGCAATTATAATAATTCTCAATGCAGCAAGTGTACATGGAAACAAGTATCACAACAGGCTCCTGGTAGGATTAATTGCTAAAGTTTTTCAGGAATACAATTTGGCTATATGTATCGAAAGTCTTACATATGTTTATACTCATTGAATCAATAATTCCATTATTTTTTTTAATTTTGTAAATATTTTTATTTATTTTAGAGAGAGAGGAAGGGAGAGGGATAGAGAGATAGAAACATCAATGAGAGAGAAACATCAGTTGGCTGCCTCCGGCATGACCCCTTCTGGGGACCGAGGCCTCAACCCAGGCGTGTGCCCTGACCGGGAATCAAACCAGTGACCTCTTGGCACAGAGGTCGATGCCCAACCACTGAGTCAGACCAGCCGGCTAATCCTACATTTTAAAAATCAGAGATGTGGCCAAGTATATAAAAATCACATCTATTCTTAACACACCTTTTATATTTTAATGACTAATGTTATAATAGAGAGGCACATTGGTCTTGTATGATAAAGCTTCTAAAATTTGCAGAAATTGGGATGTCAGCTTATGAAAAGTGAATGATATGCCTGAAATTGTAGAAAAGATACTTTGGGGAAAATATTCAGATTTTATTTGGAATTTTATTATTCCTACTTCTTTTGTACTATGCTTCTCCCCCTAAAACTGGAGGCTGCAAAATTTAGCAGAGCTCATTTGTGAGGGTATCTGAAATGAATGAGTGAGCTCACTTATTTCTTTCTTAAAGATGAGTTCTTT